TGTAGATGGAAGTAATTACGGGAAATGAATGAAATAAAATTTTTGGACAACATTTAGTAACTAGAGACTCCCTGTTGAAATTTCTCCTGTTTCCTCGGTTTGAGGTAGAAAGGTCTGATGCCAAATTATATTTTCCTAATAAATATTATTTTTATTATAAGAATAGGACATAATATTTAAATAAAAAATTAAAAAACATAATATAGAAGCAAAAACTAAGCCACTAGTAAAAAGCCATATCCCTCTGTCTCAATGAACCTTTATTTATATTCTTGTTTTACTTTTAATCTATTTTTTAATCATAAGTTTTAGTACTCTATACGACTTCAACTTGGCTTTTTTTTTTTTTTTACTTAATTTCACTTTATGCTCATTGGTCCATGTTATTTCATAGTATTAAAACATTATTTAATAATGTCAAATGATGTATAATAAACTCTCCTGTGATTCATCAGTCTGAGGCCCAGATGCAGAAAAGAAAATAAAGGTAACAATATCTTCCATTTCTCACTCCAACAAATACAGGAACTGGACTTACTCATCAAAGGATCACTGTTTAACATGTTTTGAAGTGTCCTTTTTTTTTCAGTCAATTATTGCAGCATTATTGTAATTAAATGACCTATCACCTAGACGCTGCCCTTCCTTACAAATAATTAAAAATTAGTATGACAAAGGCAGAAGAGTAGGGATTGCAGACCTTCCTGAAAGCACTAGGCCGTAAGTATGTGTAGAGGAACCAAGAATCAGGGAGGCCCACATTTAGAGCAAAGTGAAGGGTTCATTTAAAAGACATTCAGGAGGGTAATCTTGGTCAGCCAATTCACATTTGGCCAAGACTCTTGGCCATTACCATCCGACAGATGCTCAGTGCCTTGAATGAAATGAGCTGGTCTCATTCCAGTTCCTAGAGAACAGGTGTGCCCATCACCAAACGAAGGGGGAAAATCTATTGCTATAGTTGGCACTAATTCACATCTTTGCTGGCAGGCTTAGCAGAAAGTCCAAGAGTTCAGTGGCTGTGAAAGAGACTGATGTGCCCTGGAGCAGAGAGGAACACACTGATGAGCACTTGCGATTCTCAATAAATGCCCACAACCCCAGAACTCCATACCATTACACATGCCTGAGTGGGCATAGTCTATAGATGAGTCTTTGAACCCTTTGCAAAACCCAGAAAGGCAACAATTGGCAGCCCCTTCACCGACTAGAAAAATAAAATCCATTGCTAGCTGCATTTCTAGTTTAAACCCTGCCTTTTCCACGAAATTCTCCGTCCCTGATCAGATGTCTTTCAGTACTCAGTATCCCTATCACCCATTAGGCACTCATCTAGCAGTGTAAGGTAGAAGAGTTTTTTGTTCAGCACATCCAAACAAGAACCTGGAATATTGGCCTGGAATAAACGGCCTCCTTTAAAATTGTGGTATCACCTATGAGATTCCAGAACCTTCCTGTTGCCACCTATACCCCAGAGAAGCCTCGGAGTCCCTTGAGAGAGAGCCTTGCTTATCAGGTCTAGGTCTTCAGCCTAGTTAGCATTCAAGCCTCTATCCAACCCCTGACTACATTCCTTACTCCTCTCTCAAGTTTTATCTTTCCTTATTCCAACCTTATCCTTTCTGCTCCAATCAATTAATATATCTTGCTTTCATTATATGCTTGGCAATTCTTCACTCTGTTCCCTTGAACGTATTACTACTTCTACCAGGAATATTCTCTTCCCTTCTTTCAACTAATCTGCTGCCATGAACTATCTCCTCAAAGACGTGTCTTGGAAATATCTCATTAGAAGAAAATCCTTCTCAGACCAACCATGCATTGGGTATAATTAGCGCTGCTCTGTATATATTGTGTTTGTGTTATCTCTCTGATCACCAGGTTGAAACTTCAAGGTTCACTCATGTTCATAAGACTATGATCATTGTTTTCCCCCACTGTGGTCTAATACAATGGTCGTTATACAACAGATCCTTCATAAATATTTGTAAACTACAATAAATGTAGGCCCTGGCTGGGTAGCTCAGTTGGTTAGAGCATTGTCCTGATATGCCAAGGTTAAGGGTTTGATCTCTGGTCAAAGCACATATAAGAAACAACCAGTGAATGCCTAAATACCAGAAGTGGAACAACAAATTAATGTCTCTCTTTCTCTCTAAAATAAATTAATATAATTAAAAATAAAATGAAGGTAATTTTTTAAAACATTCAATATGTTAGTTAACACAGAAGTGATTTTTCCTAAAATAGAACTTAGTTTGTGGGTCCACTTTTCAAACACAGTAAATTGATGATGGAAGTAAAGTGCTATGGACGGAATGTTTGGTCTCCCCCAAATTCATATGTAGAAATCATGTGAATTAGAAGGTAAGCCTTTGGGAGGTGATTAGGTTGTGAGAGTAGAGCCCTCCTGAAAGGGATTAGTGCCTTATAAAGAGGCCGCGGAGAGATCCCTTGCCCCTTCAGCCATGTGAAGACACCGGGAAAAGATGGCTGTCTGGCAACAGAAAGTGGGACCTCGCAGACAAAGAACAGGTCGGCATCATGATCTTGGACCTTTCGCCTTCAGAATTGTGAGAAATAAATGTGTGTTGTTTGTTAGCCATCCACTTACAGTATTTTGGTTATAGAATCCTGAATGAATTAAGACAGTACGTAAAAAAGGCTGATTAGCTATCAGTTCTCATAGCCTCTTCCACTGCTGTTCCTATCACTTCTTGACCAATTATAACAGGTGCTAGGATTTGATGAGTGTGTACTCTTTGCCAAGCGCCATACATACTTTGTCATTTTACCCGGAGATAGATGCTATTATTCTTTTATGAGCATTTTGCAGAGGAAAAAAAACTGAGGCTTAGGTAAACTAAGCAATTTGCTCAGAATCACATTTTAAGCAGACAGAGAGTAAACTAACTGAACTAACAGGAAAGGATGAAGAGGTGGGAAGGAAAGTATATGAAAAAGATGAATCACTTGGTCACATTTTGCAGAGCGGCATCCAGCCAAATCTTCCTGCATAACTGTGGTGGCTGCAGTGGTGTGGCCCAGGGCCCTCCTTCAGGACCCAGGGAGGCACTTGCTCCCCAACCAGGGGTGGGGGCTGCTGATGGCTCACAGCTAAGCCCCAGCCTGGGACCTGTCTTTGGAAGGAAGGAGCTGCTTTGGTCAAGTGATGGCCCCTCTCAGAGCCAGTCAGACAAAGGGGAACTAAAATCTGAGCGCCTTGCCTCACTTTAGGATATTTTTCAAGGGCCACCCCAACTTCAGTAGTCCCCACCATGGCATCGGCCAAGGCCTCTATGACAATATCCCAGCCCAGCTTCTCCCGCAGCCCAATTCTGCCTTCCGTCTTTCCTCCTTGACACTTGTTGTTCCGGAGAGCAGGCCTTTAAAAATCCACTGCAGGCAAATTTCTGCCTCTGAGCTTAATTCCTGGGAACCTGACTGAAGACACCAAACATTAGTGGCAAAGCAGAAATCGGGGTCCACGGCCTGTGCTCTAACCTAAACCAGGAGTGAGATGCCGGAGGGGCACATCCAAGCCTCCTCACCTAGCGTTAGCGGTGGGAAAGCTTGTGACTCAGGAGGGGCCTGGTTGTGTCGCCTCCCACCCCGAAGTTCGCTTTGCTCCAGTGGGTGGCCTTCCCTGACCCCTTCTCTCATCACACACCAAAATCTTGACACTGTCTCTCTTCTTACCAAACTGTGCTTTCAGGAGAGAATTTGTTCAACTTAGCCACACAAAAGGAAAATTAATTAAATTCAGTACTACTGCTTGGGATTGAAAATAAGCTCATAGCCATTTTAAGTTTAAACCAAGGAAAGAATATGTACAGCAAAATTCTAGATATTTATTTATTTATTTATTTACTCAGTTGAAACATATTTGAGCACCCGCTGGGCAGAGCTGGTAGAGAGCTGGGTGGGAAGAGAACTGTTTTAGGTTTGGGTGGCCACCAACCACCAGCCCTTTGGAACAACCCCAATGGCTGACGCCACCAACCTCTGAGACTTCCACTGTCTGCTTATGTCTCAGGTGCCATGAGGGTGCACCGACTTTATGCTGATTTATGGGGTCACTAGCAGTTGATGAATTACCACATTGTAACAGGAGCAGACATCTCTGGGTCGTTACCCCCAGTCCTCCAGGACTAAATGAAAATCTAGTCTTTTCATATGGAGTTCATTTCACTAGCAAAACAAAGAAGTGAGCAAACGGTCTCTTTTTGCCAACTCAAAAGCAGGCTAAAAGCTTTTTTCAAGATAAGACAAAATAGTTCAGAAGAGGAAGCAGCCTTTTAAATTGAGCCTTCCCTGCTGTCCAGCAGTGGCGTATTTAGCTATTTTTGGATAAGTTTAAGAAGGGTACATAGGTAAAATTCACCGGAGAGGTTTTGCTCAGGCTATCTACTCTCTGAATGATTCCTATGTCCACCAAAGAAGAAGAAAGATGGAAGGTATTGCTTCTAATTTTCTCATGTCTCAAAAATGAAGACAGGAGTTGCTGCTCAGCTTGTCACATGAGAATATATACAGCTACAAGGCAGCAGGATCAGCGGAATCAGCAAGACACTGGAGACTCAAGAACAAAGAATTTTAGTTGTCATATACTACTGTTATCTTGCTAGGAACCCCCATATAAGTAAGTCACTTAACCTTTCCTTTAACAAAATTTTTTTTAAGTGAGATTAATACAGGTTCGGTTCACAGTTTGCTCTTCCGTAGAATTAACAGAATACACAAAATTGTCTGTCTTACATTATTCATTAATAATTCCCAAAGATAACATAAACTCTCTCTTTGGCAGCATATATGTATCTTTTTAAATTTGGTAGATATATTTTCATTAATAAAAAGGTAAGAGTTTAAATACTTAGATGAGCATTTTTAATATACACATAAATGCCAGGAACTATAGACAGAAAATAGCATGAAGCCTGATTCACCTGCAATGACGATAGGGGCTTTCAGGTGTAACCCAAAGCTCTAGGATAACTTACCTTGATATACTGCCACAGATGACCGAGCACGGGTTGGTGTTGTGCAGGTACTGAACGGCTTTGGCTGTTCCTATTAATATACTAATTCGACTGTCCCAAGAGAGTGGGGCTGTGTTACCCTAAAAAGACAACAGTAGTTGGTTAGTTGCACTTTCTGAGTAAAAACCATAGTGTATTAATTACACAGAAGTATGCCAGAATAGAAGCTGATGGTTGAGGTGAGGTATGGCGGGTTTACCATCATGTATTTTTAATTCAAGATAGGCTTTCCTCTACTCCCAAGGATGGTTCTAGGCCTTTGTAACTGATGAAAATACCTACCAATGTTAATATTAGCTTAATCAAAGTATGGGTAATAAGGTAATTGTGTTTGAAAGTTCATTAAATAAATTATTTGTGGCAGAATAGTGTGGGTAGTTGAGAATAATCTGGTTTTATTCTCATCTTAACCTATTTGAATCAATTTTTAAACTTACATTTCATGCCCTGCCTGGTGTATCTCAGTGGATTGAGTGCCAGCCTGTGAAACAAAGGGTGCTGGTTCAATTCCCAGTCAGGGCACATGCCTGGGTTGCAGGCCAGGTCCCCAGTAGATGGTGCGCAAGAGACAACCACACATTGATATTTCTCTCCTTCTCTTTCTCACTCTGTACCCCCTCTCAAAAAATAAATAAAATCTTAAAAAAATAAACTTATATTTCAAAAACATCTCATAAAAAATCATGACATTTGTTCAGCCTCCTTCTCTTTAAGGAGTCTATCACTTTTATGTCTATTCTTTGTATTGAAGGGTAACTTGGTAAAGTTGCACAAATAAAGATTATCTGAGAAATGAGAGTAGTTGATGTATGCTTATTTGAGATATAGAATCAATAAGGAGTAAGGACCCAGTAAATCCTTTGGCCACCATACTGCACTCAGGTATTCATTCAGCCTTCTAATGGTAAGAAATTAATTCATGAAGAAGTCCTCTGCCTCCGTGGAAAACCCATTGTGGGCTGTCCCCTCACCTGAACATACACACTGACCTCCCAGCTCTTACTGATGGTTTCAGCAGCTCCCAGGGGCTTCAGGGAATCAAAGTAGAAAGCAGAGTAATTGAAATGACTTACTACACACTGTAATCTGTCAAAAAGTGATCCGTTTCTCATATATGGATAAACCAGGCAGAACTTCTCACTCTCTGTAAAATATGCAGCCAACTCTAGTATGTTTGGATGATGATATCTTGAAACAAAAGATATTTAAATCCATCAAATTGCTTATTCAAATAGGAAATAAACAACACTAAGGTTTGGGAAAGGAGAATAGGTCTAAAGCAGAATATAAATTTGGCCAAGGGAGAAGTAATTTCATTGGAAGCATGAAACAGAATTGCTTTCCACATAACTCAAAAGTAGTAGTGTTCTAACAAATACTAGCCACTCTTTGATTGATTGTGACCATGCAAATACAAATAAAATACCCAAATATACGAGATAAAATTTAAGAAAGTGAAGAGTTCTTAAGATTTGTGGCGTTTGTAACTTTATAACAAATAGATAACAATATTCAAAGTTAACTTATTTTTATCAGCATAAAACCCAATATAACTTATTTATGAAATAAATAAAGATAAATGCAACGGAAATTATCCATTTCATTGCTTTAGGTAGATACGTGTAAGTCACCATAAGTCATGTTTATTGAGAGCTAATATGCAGGTACTGTACTAGGCATCAGTCACACAGGTAAAAGAGATACCCAATGTCTTCACAAAGCTTGTATTGTTTTCTAAAATCCATGTGATTAGTAAAGTCAGATGATGAAAAACATATCATTGATTTTTAAATCATAGAATTTTATGTCAGTGTAAGATACATATTTCAGGCTCCTTTCCTTAAAAGCTCTATTTTTTTATTGCATGTGTCATCACTGTGAAAACCAATGGAACCCAGGTAACAACGATGAAATATAAAACATGCAAAATTTACATATACTGTGAATTTGGTTCAATTCTTTGATTATTTATGAATACCTATTATGTTGTAAGTATGCTTGGGGATATTCAAATAAATAAAGTTATTTTTTAAAAAATGTGGTTCTATTTATAAGAGTATTATTTGTTTCTTCAATAGCAAAACTTTGCTATAAATCACACACATATATAGATATCTACCTATATCTATCTATCTATCCAATCTCCCTTCTGAGTCCTTTTATTCCTCCTTCCTCAAGAGAGTGTGTATATGTGCATGCATGCAAACATATACACATTCACAAACACACAGAAAGACCTTTATTGTTAGATGTGTGAAAATCTGTGACACATGATTGCTGCACCTATTATGATTCAGACCATATCTATAAAATGGAAAGCAATGGACTGAAAAGAAACTGAGTTGGTATATTTGGTTGCTTAAATAGCTGATCTATGCTACTAGCTAGTTGATTCTCCTGCAATTAAAAATAACTTAATGAAGTAGAAATCTTTTGGAAAGCAGTAGACAGAAGATCTTGTATAGGCATAGACATGGCCCTGCTCTCTTGCTCACAGAGTAGAAATGACCATTTGCTTATTTTTAAATATTACTGATCAACCAGAAAAACGGTTACTTTAGAAGTTATCAAGGTATGGAATATGGAAATGTCATAGGAAATGATTGCTGCTTTTAATTCTGTAGACTCACCTCACCCATCCTCTCACTATAAAGTTTTAAGTTGGTGGGATTTTAGATTATATAGATCTGAAGATCAGCAGATCAGATAACTTTGGAAATCAATTCAATAAATATTTTTGAGTGCCCACTACAGATTAAACATGATGCAAGCTACCATGATGTGGTAGAGCAGACAGACTTAAACAACAGACACACCTGGGTTTGAATCTCTGGTTTTCTTTTTATCAGCTGTGTAAACCTGAACATGTTAGTTAGCTTCTATGATTTGAATTGCCTCCCCCATCCATATGTTGAAACCATAACCCCCAATGCAATGATGTTTCATGATGCAGCCTTTGGGAGGTAATTAGGGTTAGATGAGGTCATGAAGGTGGAGTCCTCATGATAGAATTAGTGCTCTTATGAGAAGAAACACCAGAGAGTTTGCTCCCTCTCTTTACCATGTGAGGACAAAACAAGAAGGCAGTCATCTGCAAGCCAGGAAGAGAGTCCTCAGAGGAATCAAATCTGCCTTGATCTTGGACATCTCAGATTCCAGAACTGTGAGAAATAAATTTCTTTTGTTTAAGCCAGCCAGTCTATGGAAGTAGGAAAAAACACCTACTTCCTGAGATTCTTATGAAAATTAAATTAAAGATTAAACATTTAATCAAATCCAAGATCCTCAAAAATTATTAGGTCCTTTCCCTTTTCTTGAAGAAAAAGGAAAAAAAAGAATCAGAAGCCACATTTTAAGAAGTCTACAATTCTATTCAAGGCACAAGGATTAAGCAGTTCCCTTGATATTAAAAAAATAAAAAACAAAAAACTCATTCTTAGGTCCTAGCTTAGATATTACTTTTCCCAAGAAGCCTACTCTGCGGCCTACCCCACTACCCCTACCCAAGGTACCATTCCCTATTTCTTCAGTGCTCTGTACTTCCTCATCTTATCACTTACTTTACTGAAATTGCCTATTTACTTATGTACTTCTCTCCTAATCCCACTCCAAACATCTCAGATACTATGTTCTGAAAGAAGAAAGCTGCATCTGACTTATTCCTAAGTAAATCTCTAAGACCAGGAAGGTTTGAAAATGATTTAGGAAATAAGTTGGATCTCATAAAAAAAAAAAAGACAGAATCCATCTCTGTTTCCTCTTCTGTAAAATACAGATAATAGCAGTACCTACCTCATAGGTAAGTTGATTACCACCTAGGTAATCCTATGACTACCACATAGGATTAAAGAATTAATACAAATAAAGTTCTTGGTGAATAAATATTAGCAATATAAATAATAATGATGGCACATGAGAAATATTCAACATCACAGAGTTGTTCATTCTCTCTAAATTAATATATAAATACCTTACCAGAATAAATCCAAATGAATCAAATATATGAATGTAAAAAATGAAGTCATAAAAGTACTTGGAAAAAATGGCAATATTATTTTATAACCTATCAGAGGGGGAGGCCTTTAATATAAAACCCTAAGTCCATAAGAAGAAAATATAGTTGAAAAATATTAAATTAAACTACATGAAAACCATTTCTACATGACAAAAACTAGAATAAGCAATGACAAATGACAATCTGGTAAGAAAAAAAAACCTGCTTGTATCTCATAACACAAAACAGGACTAAATTTCTCTCTATATAAAATGCTCTTATAAACCATTAAGAAAAGTACACAATGGTCCAATAAAAAGTGGGGCAAAAGATGTTATATTTCATATCTCTTAATATGTAAAAAAGACTCATTCATAATAGAAAAAGAAAGTTAAACTACACTGAGAAACCATTTCCACTTTGCACACTGGCAAAAATTAAAAGTTAAGAATAAACACTATGTTGGCAAGAATCTGGAGAACCGGGTGCTTTTACATATATATGACTAGTATAAATTCATATAACTTCTGCTGAAGGACAATTTGGTAGTATGCCATACTTATCACGATTTGACCCTATAATTTTATTTATGTAAATTTATTTTAGATATATTCGAACAGGTATGAAATAATATATGTAAAGGCTTTCTCACTGCAGCATTATTTTTTAATACAAAAAGGTTATAAAATAAAAACCTATCAGAAGAATATTTAATTAAATTACAGTACAGCACACAATGGAATACTAAAATAAGCAAAATGAATAAAATATGCTGCCTCTTGTGTGAGAAGAGGAAAATTAGAAAACAAATACATATATGCTTACACATAAACTATCTTTGGAAAGGTGTATAAGAAACTAATAACTCGACTGCTTTTGGGAAAATCACCTGGGTGGTTGGATGAGAACAGTGGAAGAAATTATTTTCTTGGTTTACCCTTTTGCACTTCTAGAATTTTGAAACAGTTCAACTTATTTATAAGCAAATAAATAAAGCTTAAATATAAAAAACTTTATTGCAATTTTTGTTTCAGTTTTTCATTGACTAAATGATAGATATTAAGTTTTTATAACTAGCCTTTAACGTTTTGATTTCTGGTCCTGGGTGTAAAAGCAGAAGGATTTATATCCCTCCCCCAGCCACATATCAGTTTAGAAAACATTGGAAAAGAACATTTCTATTTGTAAAGGGTGATGAGTGAACTCTATAGGGTTAGGGGCCTTCGATGAGGCAGGCTGCACAGCTGCATATATGAACATTTATAAAAATGAAGTTATTTTAGTTTGTCCCCAAGGATTCTGAGGCTCATGAACAAATTCCCTGAAAATAATATCCATATCAAAAGCACTTGATTTCTTTGTCTAGAACTCTTTTCCTGAAGATGGTTATATTGATAAAACATTTTCTTGACTGGAATGTCTCTAAGGAAGGGGGAAATGGTAAAATACATACAATTCTAATGTTCTAAGAATTATTTTACACTCTGCCATGTTAGTCACACATGATTTAACCTACTTCTCCGTGACAGTTTCTTGTTAAAATATGTTCAAGTGAATTATGTAAATGGCCTATTTTTAAAGGTATTCCAAGAAATAGACTAAAACAGATGTCAGATATTTACCCTACATTCTAATATCACATTTATTAAATGCCTACCATGCCAAGCTGTGTGCTGTAGAATCAAAAGTGAACAAAAAGATGAAAACCAGGCAAAAAGGAAGAAATTCCAGGCAAAATATACTCACAGTAGTAGAACTTCAAGCTCAGATAAAAACTTCTTCCATTGCTTCTTACATTGCATTAGTTTCTCCTAAATACCATTCAGAAAAACAAGGGGAAAAAAATCAAGGAAATGATCTCTCTCTCTCTCTGTGTGTGATTCTTAGCCTAGGTCCTATAATCTTCCTGAAATTAGATGAACTTTTTGGTATAAATGAAAATGCACATTTTTCTGGGAAGAGGACCCTTAGATTTAATCAGATTTTCAAACATCTATTAACTCCAAACAGATTAAGAACAAAGCTATTAAAAGTTTTTCATGCAATGTAGCATGTTGCCATATTTTATATTCAAACCCTCACCTTTTTCATAAATTTAAAAATATTACACGTATTCAAAGAAAATCCCATGACATTTAGAAATTCCCCACTTAATCTCATAAACAATCCATTTTGAGATTGCTGTATTCTGCTTTGAAGTGATTTCACTAATTTGGCACTTGTGACTTGGGTCATTGGAATATGTTGGTTCAAGTTTATTTCTGTATTAATTTTGAAAAGATGGACTTACTAAGCAAATGAAAAGTATAATTCTTTACTTCAAAGATGCTTCAGAAGCTATCCCTGTGCCTGATAAACATTTACTGAATAAATTAATGAGTTCAATAATATAACCTACTCTGTGCCTGGACTGTTGCCAATGGTTTCATACACCTCATGCCATGGCATGCCTCCGTACCTCAGGCTCCTAACATCTACCATAAAAGAGTTAAATTAACTGTGTTCCTAGGTCCCATCAGCTGGAAGTTTCTACCATTTGCAAATTGCTAGACAGGGCAGAGATTTCAGAGATCTCTGTCCTCAGGAATAAAAGGTGAGAAATCAAACAAGAATTCTGGAAGCTATTTTCCAAGTTAATTCAGGAAGTCAGAAACAATAAACTAGGCTGACAAATCATTTTCAAAGACATCTTTATGAGAATTTATATTTAAAAAAGAACATTGTTATGCGATCTAAGTGCATCAGATCTCAGGCCCATTTTATAAAGTATATTTTATTGATTATGCTATTACAGTTGTCCAATTTTTTTCTCCCCTTTATCCCCCTCCGCCCTGTACCATCTTCCTTCCAGCATCCGCACCCCTTAGTTCACGTCCACGGGTTGTAAATATGAGTTCTTTGGCGTCTCCATTTCCTATACTGTTCTTAACCTCTTCCTGTCTATTTTGTACCGACCAATTATGTTTCTTATTCCCTGTACCTTTCCCCCCATTCTCCTCCCTCTCCCTCCCTGCTGATATTCCTCCATGTGATCTCCATTACAGGAGCATTTCTATCACCACTATCTGTGACATTTTGTCACTTAACCTCAGGGTTATAATTTTATTAATCTGAAAAATGAAGGGGTTAGTTTTTGTCTCCAGGCTAACCCCAGGATTCTTGCTGTTCAAAGAGTAGTCTGTGCACAAGGAACATCAACTTCACCCAGAGCTGGCAAGAAATGGTGAATTTCAGATCCCTGCCCAGATGTGCTGAATCCAAATGGTAAGCTCTTCAGGCTTTGGATGCACCTAACACACCTAGTACATTTCCCTGCTCCAGTCCCTCTACAAAAGGTTATTAAAGTTAATGTCCAATTTTACAAAACCACATTCCTTTAAAAAAATGCTCTGTGGCTCAAGCTTCATTAAACTATCTCATCTTTTTGATAATATGTGTGTGGGTGTGTTTGTAAGAGTGTGTGTAGGACTTTGTACAGTCTCTAGTTCTTGGTACCTCTGTTATCCCTGTCTGTTTACTCCTAGTGATTAGCAACTAAATTCATTAAAAAGTCATATTTGTCATTGATTTCATTGTTCAACAAACATTTATTGAGCAAGTACTATGGATCAGGCCCTGTAAAGAGGCACTGGATACAAAGATAAATTAGAACACTTTAAAGAAAACCATCTAGTCTATTGGGAGAGAAGGATGAAGAAATCAATACTATAATACAATGCTATAGTACTGTGACTACACACAGGAGGATCAGCAAAACCATACTGGAGGGATCAGAGGCAACTGAAGAAATACTCATTGTCTCTGGCATAGGAAAGGAAGGAGGTCTAGGTTATTAAAAGCCAGAGTCCTGGAAAGAAAACTCCCAAAATGGAGTGTGAGTTGGTGGTAGCAGAGGGAAGAGGAAGGTAGATGGACAGAGCTTTTGGGGAAGTGGCTCTGGGGCACAACCGTAAGAGAATATACAAATGGGGCTGGAGACACAATGGCCTCAAGAAACAGGCTTTGGTTAGGCCACCTCTAGAATAACCACATTCTCTTCGTTAAGTGGTTTTACCAGCAGATAGCTTCATTTCTTTATTAGATGAATCAACTTATCAGGAATTTTGAGATGTCTATTTAGAATTAGTGGGCAAAATGTAATTTAAAGGAATGGAGAAATCAGGCTAATAATTTTTTTTTAAGTCTCTGTACTCTCAGCTGCAAAGTAGGATGTCCTCCTTCCTTCTCCCTTCTTTCCCCAGCCCTATATAACAGATCACTATTGTTGGTCCACTTCGCCTCATCTCTCAGACCTATCTTGTCCTCGCCATCCCCATTACTCCTGCCCTGCCTTCCAGCAGGGGCTCTCAACACTGGCCGCCTGTGAACCACCTGGAAGCTCTTTAGAAATACTGATGTCTGCCACCACTGCCACTTCCTGACCTAACCAGACACTAAGGGGCTCATTTTTTAAAAGCTCCCGAGGTGATTCTAATACTAGGGTTGAGAATGTTGGTTTAAGCCCTATCCATTTCTTAATTTACTTATCTGAAATATCCTTCTACCAAATCTTTTCACCTCCAGTCTAAGTTCTTGCCACCTTTACTCCAATGCTCCTGCCCACTTCCAGCCCATCCTCTAACCTGTAATTGAAGTTATATTTTAAAAACACAAATCCAATCTTTTCACTCTCCCTCTTAAAAATCATCCATGAATTTAGCCCGAGCTGGTGTGGCTCAGTGGATTGAGTGCCCCGCTGTGAACCAAAGGGTCACTGGTTGGATTCCCAATCAGGGCACATGCCTGGGTTGTGGGCCAGGTCCTCAGAAGGGGGCGCATGCGAGACAACCACACATTGATGTTTCTCTCCCTCTTTCTCCCTCCCTTCCTCTCTCTAAAAATAAATAAATAAATACTTCAAAAAAAAGTCATCCACAAACTTAACCTATCTTTCCGGTATTATCTTCTGCCACCACCCTCCCACTCCCACACTAACCTCTATTCCACTGAATGAACTATTATTCACGAGTAAGATGTCTGCTTTCATGTCTGCACCTCCAGCCTTTACACCTGCTATTTATTCCACAGCAAAGGTACTCCCCCTCACTCACTGCTTGCCAAAATTCTACTCATCCTTCAAAATCCAGCTGAAAGGTCACTTCCTTTCATCTACTTTTCCATTTGTTAATTGCAGGAATGTTTATTGAGTGGTTACTCTGTGCCAGGCACTCTTCTGAGTGCTGGATGCACCTCGCCCCCCCGGCTATATTGTATGTGCTCCCATGATCTTTTGGATAAATCTCTGCTAAAGTACTCCTCACACTACAGTTTAATATTTTCTTTAGCCAGCTGTTTCCCCCTGTCAGGCTGTGAGCAACTTGAGATATGCCTTACTCATTTTTGCATGCTCAATACCTAACCCATACAAGGAGTTTAGAAAATCTTTACTGATTGTTGCTTAACAGTGAACAACATGAAGAGCAGTTCTTTTGGGCGTGTGGTGTGTACCTATCTCTCCCAGAGTCCTGAGTTAGATTCCTCCCTACCCTTTCTGCTTTACTGGTTGCAATCAGCTGTCTCCCAATCGCCTGCTGTGATCATTGCCTTGCTGCTCCTGCTTGAATCCTCCCTTTTCCCACACTCCTGAACTGCGATAGGAAACAATTTATAAAGTAGAACAGGATGCCAATCTGCAGCTTAGCCCGTGAGGCTGCCTGGAGGGGATACTTCCCATCCTAAAAAAACAAGCAAACATGAAAACTGGAGCAGCTGGCATAATGTGACCATCTGAAGCAAGTCCTAAAGGTCCTACAAGGCTTTTCAGAAAAGTATTTTCTCATGCAATACATCTGGGGAATGGGAAGGATTTAACTCCCACATTCCTACAAGACAGGCATTCATTTCTCAATCATTTCTCCAGTTACCTGAGGTCATGCATCTTATTTTCATTTATGAAATTTTATTTTCAAATACACATCTCAATCTCGATGAAAAATGACACATTCTAATATGAAATATGAGCAAATAAATAGAATTAATATCCTGTGTTATTAATTCTTTCCATACCTGTTTAAATAACTTAATGGCATAGGTTTGGTTTTGGATCTCCGCTCTGTATACCTCAAAAATCTCCCCTTCTCCGATTAGGAAGTCTTTGTGGAAGTTGTTGGTTCCTTCTATGACGTTTTGAAAGCTGATAGAGGATTTAAGCAACATTCCTTAGGAAGGAAAGTAGAGAGAAGATAAGTAACCTTTTCTTTTTCTAAAGAGTCAGTGCCACCATTATGAAGAACCAGGATTTCCGTATAGAAACACACCAGAGGCCAGTGGAGAGTTGGACGGGTGAGGCCCCCGGAACCAAACTGAAGAGCACCATGTGCTCTCTGCACATTGACTCAGGTCTGGCTCCCACCATTTCACAGAGCAAATGGCCTTTTAGATATTCCCATAATAGCACTGTGATTCTATTACCTTTCCTAAAAGATCAGCCAAAAGGCATAGTTGGGGAAACTTTTCCAAAATTCTGTTTCTTTGTCATTGAAGCTATAAACCTAAAACCAGTTTTTAAAAAAAACACCAAAAACTTATATTAGTGGAACTTTTGATATGTATGACTAAACAATATACTCTAAGGATGACTGATGGAAACATTTTTCATGAGCCAAATCGTCTAAATGCCTAATTTACTTACTCAGAGTAAATTAGGAAGATGTTAAAGCAGAGAGGGGGAGGAAACATTTAAAAGGGAATCAAATACAAATTCAAAGGCAAGGTCTTGGCTAAATCCTCCAGAACCCAATTTTGGCTATATTTCCACATTTAATGTTTGATTTAGACCTTATGGCTAAATCTTAAAAGACCACATTTTTTAAAATCTCTTTTGAATCAAAAAAGCATCAGATCTAGAAGCAAAATTTAGACAAGGGAGCCTTAAATAGCCATTCAAGTTTATCAGAATAATTTCTAGGTAGAATGAAATTATTCTCTCTGCTAATAAAGTAGGAAAGTTGATGTACAAAATAACTGGATTTTCATAGTGACTTTCAGAATGGCTGTACGAACATCACTAAAAATCTCTGCAAATACTATGAAAATTTCTAAAATATATAAAACCCAACATAATTTTTAAATGTTTTCCTATGACACAAAAATAGTAAATTTCACTAACAGAATATAAGAAATCGCTCTGAGACCTGAATTTTGTTCTTCATTCGCTAAGAGATTTTTAATATCACAATAATATACCATCCATCAGAACTGAATGAGTCAAAATTGCAAATATTTTGATATCTATGAAAAGTTTATCCTGAATCTGCATATTAATGAACAGTTAACATATTTATTAGATATTTCTCCCTCTCAGTTGACTTAGTAGAAAGCAGGATTTAAAAAGAAATTGAGGTGATTGGGGTTTTTTGGTTTGTTTTACCTTTTTTATTATCTTCAGGAATAAGAACATTATCCATTTTGACATCGGCTGTTTCCTAAGAGAAGAAATACATGTTAAAGAAATTCAGTTTCATGAGTGCAGATAGAATAGGACCTCAACAGAATCTGAAGTTCCCCCTGGCTCTGCACAGTTGAATAGAGTGAAATCTAATTTAGAGGAAAGCTAGAAGAAAGCAAAATTATTTTATTTTATTCAATAGTATTTATTGCCGTATATATATTGAAGTCTTCCAGGCCAACTGTGAAAACTCAAGTATCAATGTCATAGTCAGCAATAGTCAATTTTAAATGACTTTTATTGCCATAAAAATGATCACTGCTAATTTGCTTTAATAAAAGCAAACAGCTATATGCAAAACACCAATTAAAACAGGAAAATGAAAAGCTGAGTTAAGACAAATGCACAACTCACAGTACCCTTAAGAGTTCTAAGTCTCACCTCTGAAAGATCAGTGAGAGACGATAGCTCTTAACTCTTCAAACGTTTACGAATCTCTAATTTTCTGATTCCTCAAATAAGCAAAGAATAGACAGCGAGAGAACTAAGGCTTTTCTGCTTTTAAATTAGAATCTGCAAGTACAGCATTTTTATGTCTGATAATTTCCTTTCTATGCTCAATTACATATGCAACAGAGTTCAAGGGTCATTATCTGTGCATTCACACTGTACCTTGGAGAACATGTTTGGAAATCCATCTCCCTGATGTCTCTGCTCTAAGGGAGTCAAAGCTGCTCCTGAAAGAGAAATCAGGGGAGATAGATAAAAAAAAATGTTCCTAATAAATTTGGATTTTGTCTTTTCTTAGGCTGTGAAAATAAACACTTTGATAGTAATGTTAATTTCTAAAGCTCAGTTTAATTCCCATTTAGTAGTTACATATTTATGTGTGTGAATAACATTCTAATGATCAAATATTATATATGCATACTTTGGTTCACTTAAAACATGAATACCTACCTTAAATTATTGTTAGACATTATTAAAAATATTATAATATAAAGTAAAAAATTGAAAGGAAAAAGTAACATTGTAATCCTCTTTTGCATATATATTTTAATTTTTTTTTTTTGCAATAATGGGGTTATATCTCCCTGGGTTCATTTATTTTTTTATTCTACTTTGTGCTTTAAGGTATTAGAGGTATGTGTATGTGTGTCCATGTTTGTGTGTGTGTGTATTAGCCACCCACCACCATTCCCCAATTTAATTTTACTTTTTAATTTAATCTTTATTGTATATTTTTTACATTACCTTTTAGTCCCTTATATTTCTTCCCCCAGCAATCACCATGCTGTTGTTCATATTCACGAGACCTTTTTCATATGTTGGGCATCTTTTCATATAACTATTGCCCATTAGTATGTCCTCTTTGGAAAAGTGTCTATTCAGGGCTTTGGCCCATTTTTTAATTGGGTATTTTGTTTTTTTGGTGTTTAGTGGTTTTTTGTAAGTACATTGTAAATTTTGGATATTAACCCCTTATTGGATATATCGGTGACTATGTCCTCCCATCCTGTAGGTTGTCCTTTTATTTTGTTGATGATTTCCTTTGCTGTGCTAAAACTTTTTAGTTTGATGTAGTCCCATTTGTTTATTTTTTCTGTTGTTTCCCTTGCCATAGGAGGTATATCTGATAAAATATTGCTACAAGCAATGTCTGAGATTTTGCTGCTGCCTATGTTTTTTTCTAGGATTTTTATGGTATCAAATCTAACATTTAAGTCTTTGATCCATCTTGAATTTATTCTTGTGTGTGGTGTAAGAAAGTGGTCTAGTTTCATTTTTCTGCATGTATCTGTCTAATTTTCCCAACACCATTTACTGAATAAACTATCTTTAGCCTATTATATATGCTTGCTTCCTCTGTTGAATATTAATGACTATAAAGGTGTGGGTTTTTTCTGGGCTTTCTATTTTGTTCAGTTGATCTAAGTGTCTGTTTTCATGCCAGTACCATGCTATTTTGATTACTATGGCTTATAGTACAGTTTGATATTAGGCAGTATGATTCCTCCAACTTTGTTCTTCTTTATCAAGATTGCTGTGGCTATGCAGGGCCTTTTGTGGTACCATATACATTTCTGAAATATTTGATCTAGTTCTGTGAAATATGTCCTTGTAATCTTAATAGGAATTCCATTGAATCTACAGATTGCTTTGGGTAGTATGGACATTTTAATGATGTTAATTCTTCCTATCCATGAACACAATATGTGCTTCCACTTATTTGTATCTTCTTCAGTTTCTTTCTTCAGTGTCTTATAATTTTCTGAGTCCAGGTCTTTTACATCCTTGGTTAGGTTTATTCCTAGGTACTTTATTCTTTTTGAAGAGTTGTGAATGGGATTGTTTTCTTGATTTCTCTTTCTATTATTTCATTATTGGCATATAAAAATGCAACCAATTTTTGGATATTAATTTTGTATACTGCTACTTTGGTAAGTTCATTTATCAGTTCAAGGAGTTTCTTGGTTGAATCTTTGGGGCTCTAAATGTACAGAATCATGTCATCTGAGAATACAGACAGTTTTACTACTATCTTTCCAATTTGGATGCCTTTTATTTCTTCTTCTCGTCTTATTGTTGTGGCTAGGACTTCCAGTACTATGTTGACTAAGAGAGGTGAAAATGGACATCCCTGTCTTGTTCCTGATCTTAAAAGGAACACTTGTAGTTTCTGCCCATTGGGTATGATTCTGGCAGCAGGTTTGTCATATGGGGCCTTTATTATATTTAGGTATGTTCCCTCTATTCCTACTTTGCTGAGAGCTTTTAAATCATAAATAGGTGCTGGATTTTATCAAATGCTTTTTCTTCATCTATTGACATAATCATGTGGTTTTTATTCTTCATTTTGTTTATGTGATTGATGGGGGTACCCCGTTCCCCACAGAGTCTCCCCGGGTCACCACAGATGGAGGAAAATAAAATAAGTCGCTCCAGCCACTCTTGGTCTGCCATGAAAAGGGGGTAGCAATTCCCTCTAGAGGGGAATGACCCGAGCCCTTCTCTTGAAGTGGCTTTTTTTGAGAACAATATTTGCAGGGGTATAGAGCATGCATGCAAAGCTCATCAATTAATGTCAAAAGGCTATGTTTACAGAAAACAGATAGAAATCATAGGTAACAATTGAAGGAACACAGAGATTTGTGTCAGGTCAGGGTCTGGTAGACAGGGTGGTGCCTATTTGCCCCTGAAACTGGGGAAGCTGATCACATTCTCTGCTGGACCCCAAATATCAGTACTCATTAACTGGACAGCATTCTTAGCAAAGTAAGTTTCATAGGATTTAATGCATTCCTTTTTCAGGCCTAATTGTCCCCAGGAACCGCCCGATTCAGTTTAGGGCTGTACCTGCCTTTTGTATTCTTTCACTGACTTGGTCAGGCATTGAGCAGAGCAGCAAAAAACAAGGAGACTTCTTCCAGATAGAATGAGGACTCCGGCCATGACAAAGCCAAGGGGTGAGGGTCTTTTGCCCATTCTCCGTGTCCCCCAAGACCTTCCCTGATGGCCCCCATGCAACTGTGCCTGTCTTAGGTTGCCCCTGCCATTGAGGGGTCTTACCCATCATTGACTAACCAGCCATCCTCTGGGGCCAAGCAGGGTGATGTGAGGGAGGCAGAGGCTGTGCCTCTGCCAGGGGAACAGGTTTTGTTTCCTCAGTGGCCTATTTTCCCAAGGCCTCCTTGCTCAGCTCCAGCCTTGGGGCCCTCTCACTTGTTGGTGAGGCTACAGTCCCTGAAACCAGGTGGGACAGTTCCCAACATGTGGTGAATCACATTTATTGACTTGTGAATGTTGTACTAACCTTGTATACCTGGAATAAATCCCACTTCTTCATGGTATATGATCTTTTTGATGCATTTCTGTATTTGGTTTGCTAATATTATATTGAAGATTTTAGCATCTATGTTCATCAGGGATATTGGCCTACAATTTTCTTTCTTTGTAGTGTCTTTATCTGGTTTTGGAATTAGGATAATGCTGGCCTCACAAAATGAGTTTGGGAGCCTTTCCTCCTCTGGAATTTTATGAAATTGTTTGAGGAACAGAGGTATTAATTCTCAGAACGTCTGGTAAAATTCCCCTGTATAGCCATCTGATCCAGGGCTTTTGTTTTTTGGGAGTTTTTCTATTACTGCTTGAATTTCACTAGCCGTAATCTGTCTATTCAGATTCTCTGATTCTTCCTGGAAGATTGCCTATTTCTAGGAATTTAACTATTTTGTCTAGGTTGTCCAGTTTGTTAGCATATAGTTCTTCATAATATTTTATTATAATCTGTTGTATTTCTTTGGTGTCAATTGTTATTTCTTCTCTTTCATTTCTGATTTTATTTATTTGAATTCTTTCTTTTTTCTTGATGAGTCTGGATAAAGATTTGTCAATCTTGTTTATTTTTTTCAAAGAACCAGTTCTTGGATTCATTGATCTTTTGTATCATTTATTTTAGACTCTATTTTATCCATTTCTGATCTTTATTATTTCCTTCCTTCTACTTACTTTCAGCTTTGTTTGTTGTTCTTTTCCAAGTTCCTTTAAGATGAAAGTTAGATTGCTTATTTGAGCTTTTTGTATTTTTGAGATAGGTCTGTAATGCTATGAATTTCCTTCTCGGGGTTGCTTTCTCTGTGTCCTGCAGATTTTGGATTGTTGTATCCAAATTTTCATTTGTTTCAAGGTATCTTTTAATTTCTTCCTTGATCTTGTTATTGACCCATTCATTGTTTAATAACATGTTTTTTAGCTCCTATGTCTTTGCATGTTTTTCAGTGTTCTCCTTATGATTGATTTCTAGTTTCATAGCATTGTAGTCAGAAAAGGTGCTTGTTATGATTTCAACCTTTTAAATTTATTGAGATTTGTTTTGTGTCCTAACATGTGGTGTGTCCTAGAAAACATTCCATGTGCACTTGAAAAGTATATATATTCTGCTACTTTGTGGTGAAATACTCTGAAGATATCAATTAAACCAATGTGATCTAGTGTTTTGTCTAAGGCCACTGTCTCCTTGTTGATTTTCTGCCTGGAAGTTCTATCCACTGAAGTCAATGGTATGTTAAAATCCCCAACTGTGACTGTATTGCTGTTCTCTCCTTTTATGTCCAGCAAAATTTGCTTTACAAATATAGATGCTCCTATGTTGGGTATGTAAATGTTTACTAGGGTTATATCTTCTTGTTGGGTTGTTCCATTTATCATTATGCAGTCCTTCTTTGTGTCTCCATATAGCCATGGTTTTAAAGTCTATTTTGTTGGATATAAGTTGGATATAAGTACCCCAGTTTTTTTTCTTTTTCATTTTCATGAAATACTTTTTTCCACTCCTTTAAATCTGTGTGTATCTTTCCATCTTAGGTGGTCTCTTGGAGGAAGCATATATATGGGTCTTGTTTTTTTATCCATTTGGCTACCTATGTCTTTTGGTTAGAGCATTTAAGCCATTTACATTTAAGGTGATTATTAATAGATGTGTATGTAATGTCATTTTATTGTTAGACTTCCTCTAGTTTTTTTTTTCTTTCTCTTCTTCTTCTTCCTCTTAAAACAAGCCCTTTAACATTTGTTGAAGTAGTGGTTTGGTGTTAACAAACTTCTTTAGTTTTTCTTGTCTGGAAAGCTCCTTGTTTCTCCTTTCCACTCCCCAATTTTAGACAATAACTTCTCTCTGTTACAGTTCTGTCTGAACTAAGGTAGTCTATCTGGCTTCTCACAAAAGGTTAAGACCCTGCAGTATTTTGCCATTGCTTCTGACATTTTCATTCAGACTTTAGAAAATTTTCATTCTATCTTCAAATTTTTCTTAGACTATGTTATAGTGTTTCATAAATTATTTGTTTATATGACTGGCAACAAAACACAATAAATTGATAACAACTCTCTTTGAACATTATAAACCAAACATTATAGATCTAACAGACATCTATAGAACATTCCATCAAAAGCAGAAGAATATACACATACTTCACAAGTGCACATTGAATATTCTCCAGAATAGACCATATGTTAGGCAATAAAATGAGCCTCAATAAATTTGGAAGGGTTGAAATCATACAAAACATATTCTTTGACCACAATAGAATTAAAGTAGAAATCAGTAATAGAAGGAAATTTAGCAAATTCACAAATACATGGAAATTAAACAAACTCATAAATAACAAAGAAGTCAAAAAATCAAAAGGGAAATTAAAAGGTACTTTGAAATGAATGAAAATGAAAACATAGCCCTGACTGGCATGTCTCAGTTGGTTGAGCATAGGTCCACAAAGCAAGAAGTTGCCGCTTCAATTCCTGGTCAGGACACATGCCTGGATAGTGGGTTTGGTCCCTGGTTGGGGATGCTTTTCTCCCTCTCTTTCTCCCTCCCTTCCCCTCTCTCTAAAAATAAATAAATAAAATCCTTAAAAAAAGAAAATGAAAACATAACATGTCAGAACTTAATGCAGCAACAGCAGTGTTTAAAGAGTGTTTGAAGTGAAATTTATAGCTGCACATACCTACATTAAAAAAAGAAGAAATGTCTCAAGTCAGGTACATACAGTTGTTCTTGTATCCCATTATAATTCTTTTTATTTCTGTAAGGTTGGTAGTTAGAGCTCCTTTTTTGGTTTTCTTTTGTTTTTGACTTTAGTAATTTTAGTCTTCCCACTTTCCAGATGAGTTTAAATAAAAGATTGTCAATTTTGTGATCTTTTCAAAAAAACCACTTTGGTTTCATCCATTTTTCTCTTTTGTTTTTCTCTTCTTTATTTCATTAATTCCACTTAAATCTTGATTCTTTCCTCCTGCTTCCTTAAGTTTAGTTTACTCTTCTTTTTCTAGCTTCTTAAAGCTAATGCTATTTTTCTCAGTAAAGGACTCTGAGTAAGGTGTTATCCTCCACTTCATCTCAGATTTACCTATCTTCTGGTACTACGGCAGTAAATAATTGTCCTTCTACCAATCAGCTAATCTACTTAAAAAATAATATCAGTATTGCATGTGCAACAGACTAGGAGTCAACCGAGAATATGAAATTGTTGTCTATTCACAGTCCACATCATTCTCTGCTCCATAAATAAACAGCATTGAAAGTGAAAGATACCATGAAATGTATTTCAGAACACTGACATATAAAATATACCCATATGTCCTATCAAAATGGTGTGAATTTATACTGTGAACAGCAAGTTGTGTGGGTAGTTTCACTGGCTGGAAAAGGCGCAAATAAGGATAGAGCTTTGGATTTCAGTTAGTTCCCAGAGACTCACTGCATTTTAATTTATCAGCCAGCTTCATAGTGAAGCATTCTGCCCTATGAAACTATGTGAAGAAATGGTGTGCAAAAGACGAAAGGAGTTAGCTGAGGTATATAGGTACTATTATAGTGGAAGCCTATTGGGAACTAATATCCCATCGACATGGAACACCTACGAAATAAAATCAACCTGAAGCTACAGTTTTCTGGTATAAATCTCTCAGGATTTCCTCTTTGTGTATGCAAAATTTCTTTGGTTGATAAGATAGAGGTTCAAGTGCATGAGGTATATTATTAAGGAGTATGTGTGCAAATATACAGAAATAAAAATATTCCTGAGGGAAAGAAGGAGATAATAAGGTGGCTGAGTCAAAAAGAGTTTCCAACCTAAGAGCCCTGAGTCTATAAGACCCAAGATCACTCAAGAGCATTCTGGTTGAAGTGAAAAAATTAAAGTGGAGCAAACAGAACAGGTGGCATTAAGAGATTATTTTATTGACAAAGAATGAATGGAGAAAACTTCATGTGCTTTACTTCTCAGGTTACTCTAAATGTAAGGCATGGCACAGCATGAGAAACAGACAAGACATAAAGAACTGGATAGTTATCAGGTAAGGTAGAGTTAGAGGCCATGGCATGAAAGAGCAGGACAGATAAAATAGAAATCCCAGAGTTATTCTGGAGGTATATCAATTGCACTAAAATATGGGAGCAGAAAACCAATTATATTTTTAACTTCTAATCATATGATAAAACAAATTATAGCATAATCTATATTTAATTCATGTTGTGATTCTGATTATATTTATGATTCAAAGAGTTTTAGAGTTTTGGGCAGAGAGTTGATTTGCATTGCTAAGAATAAAACATTTCAAAAAGTGTAGTTTGTAAGTAAATTTTTTTTAAAACCCAAACTATAAAGATAGAAAGGAATGTGTTGTATAGATTAGGTAGTAAGAAAAGAAAGCATCACTAAAAAAAAAAAACATGAAGCTGTAAGGCCCACTTCAGATAAATGCCACTGGTAAGAAATCAGTAACATATAGCATAAGCAGTCATTGTCTTGAATGAAATGTAATATTTACATTTACAAAGTACAATTCCTATAAAATGGACCAAGGGCTATATAATAAAAATCAGTGTTTACCATAGCTTGCAACTAAATGGATAGCTCGATGATGTCCCATCTCCTGAAGAATCTGTAAAAGGTCACCAATGGTCTTGTTTTTCTGTGCCCAGGACCAAAGTAATTCTCTTGTTCCACTTTTACCTTGGTCTACATATTTTTCAATGTGACGAACATCCAGCCAGCTGCTTGAAAGTCGCTCCGCTGTAGAAATTGCAAGAGGAAGAACCAAAGAATAGTTCACTTTACTGGAATACTTGTTTAGGTATGCCTTATGTGTTTTATTCAATTTTTAAGTTTTTTATTTTGAACTAACTTTAGTTCCTCACCCAGTTTCCCCTAATGCTAACATTTTACATAACCACAGCCCAATTATTAGAACCAGTGATGACTAAACTACAGGCCTTATTCTAATTTCATCAGTTTTTCACTGTCCCTTTTCTCTTCTAAAATCCTATCCAGTTTCCTGCATTGCAATTAGTTGTTACTTCTTTTTAGTCTCCTCCAATCTGATGTTCCTCAGTCTTTCCTCTTCTTTCAGGACAGGAAAATGCTTTTAGGCCTTTTTCATGCATAATATCAAGAGGTTCATGATGTTGATGTCTCATCACTGGTGATGTTTATCTTGATCCCTAGGGTAAGGTGCTATCTGCACTATAAAATTATCTTTCCATTTGTAATTAATAACCATGCTGGAGGAAATACTTCAAGACTATGGGAATATCCTACTTCTCCTCAGATTTTGCCCATGAATGTTTGCATCTATCAGTGGCTCTTGTTTATCATGATTATTACTCTGGTGTTTGCTTAATAGTGATTTTTCTATTTTCCTTTTTCCTTCTATGTTCCTTAACTGGAATTCTTCTGTAAGAAAGTGCTATCTCTTCACCCCCATTTGTTTAATTAATTTATTTATTTCATCTTGGACCCACAACTATTTATTCTATAGGTTAAAATCCAATGCTATCATTATTTATTTTGTTGCTAAAATTGTTCCAGCTTTGTCCGTCAGGTTGGCTCCTGTATTCTTTTGACAAGCCCAATCATTTTTGCAACACTTCATTATTTTCTGGCTTACAAATGCTCCATTTTGTATTCTCCTGCCTAGCCCTGTTATTAATTACTTTTCCAAGGAGTCCAGCCAGAAACACCGAAGAGCCAACGTGCAATTCCCCAGGCTCCCATCCCTGCCACATCAATGGTGGAAGCACATGTTGATATGGGGTTACCTCAAGACTGAAGCAGCCTGGAATGTTGGATCACTACGTGGAGGTCAGTTGTCCTGGACTCTCAGTGCTCTCCCCATGAGCAGAAGGTAAACCTCTGTCATGTTAACCACTGAGATTTTTGTGGGGTTTGTTACTGCAGCATAACTTAGTCTATCCTGACTAATACACATCAAATTTATTCTTGAATTTTCTGTTATTTCAGTCTCATTTTATACCAGAAGAGAGTGAAAGGGAATGGCAGCTTTTGTGAGTATATATCAAACAAGGGAAGATAAAGTAGAGACATTCAATTTGAAAGCACACTTAAGCTGTAGAGCAAAAACAGTTACAATAAAATGTCCAAATCATTAAGTTGGAATGTGTATGCCCTTACTCCATATTTGAACTTCTAGCAAGAATATATTCATTCTTCATCTTTTTGAAGAGATGATGTCTTACAAAGAGGCAAGGACTATCCAAATGCTAATTTATATTTTAGACAGCTTATCATTAAAAAAAAATAGAAGAGGGCCTTTAGAGCAAAAATGTGGGACTCTAATGTATTTCTTTTTGATGATATAATCTACCTATTTTGGTTGAAGCACACTTTTCATAAACACAACCTATTTCTAAAATTTCTTGGTGGAAATACTGCAAATCAGTGTAGTAATTGCAGGCATCAAGTGTGAGTGGAGCAAGAAAAGGGGTCCCTAACTAAAGGTGAGGGCATCAGTGGAGATTTCCTAGAGGAGTAACCACTCCTCTAGGAGTAAACTAGAGCCTGAGCCAAGTTTAAAACTGTGAGTACTTCTAAAGAGAGGCCAGTGTTTTAAGGAATTATTGGATGGGGTACACTATCCTGGGGAGAAAAAAAAATCACTGGAGTTTGCATTTGAACAAAAAGACAAAAAAATGAACTCTGAGCCTCATGGCCTACACTGTCTTCTAAGGAGAAAAGCTGCCAGTCAAGGCAGAGCATTGCTGGCCTCCTGAAATACGTAGGAGCATGTTGGTTTAGTGGTGGCTCTGCCATTGATCTATGGTGCAGTCCCAAAAGTCACAGCCTCATTGAGCCACCTCAAACTTCTCATTAGTAAATGTCTTTTGAAGCAATCCCTCCCACAACATACAGTAAATTAGTTTGCCCTTCCCTGACCTGTTGTTTATGTGAGCATTGATTTTAAAACCCCCCAGTCTTTAAAATGCTTCCTAGTCTCAAAATTAACATTCCAACAAGGTAATGCTAAATATCAAACTTCAGTAAATGGAAAATTTATGTTTCTACTTTTTCTATTAGTAAATAATTTGACTGATATTTAGAAAGTATTAGGCATAATGTATCATATACATTAATAATATTTATATAACATACAACAGGATTCTTTTTCTCTCTTTTCTTCTTTAGATAAAATAGTTCCTTCTACACTTTGAATCTTTGGGATAAGACATGCATATCACTTGATATGCATGAAGAAAGATGTCCTTGTGGGCTCCCAGGCAGGGAGGGAGCATACAGGTGCTGGGACCTCAGCTAGCTGTGCTGAGTGGATTGGGGTAAAGTTTAAATAGGCTACATGAGGAAAGAGCCTGTCAAATGGGGAATTGTTCCAGAAACGAAGAGGTCATGAGAGGGTAGGGGAGACCAGTGCTGCTTGGAGCAGAGGATTTATATTTAAGAAAAGGTGAACAAACTTCATGAAGTCCTCAAGTTACCTTTGTAAGAATGGGCTCAGCATAGAGTAGAAGTTCAATACATATTTGCTGAATGACAGACAGGGTCTCTGAGTGTTAGCACAAGTTAAACTTTATCCTGAAAGTAGATGGGCCAATCTAAGATTTCTGATGCAAAGATGGAAGCTTTACTTTTTGGAAGATTCATCTGGTGGCAATAGTAGCAGGAGGCTCATGTACAAGATTTGCGCATAAAAAGGTATAAACATTTTCCTACAGGAGGAAAGAAATGATTTATAACTATTAAGGAAATCTGGAGTTAACTTTTCAAGTCCCAGGGGATGTCCCATTTCCCAGGTAATTCCACTCCTCATTTTTCCTTTTTATAAAAAAAAAAATTTCTGAATTTTCCTTTTAAGAGTGCAACAGGCCACAAGTCTGTGTTCTTCCATCCTGTGACTTGGCTGAAAAACTGTTAATGTAAAATGCTCTTCCTTGAGCACATTTCTGAGATTTAGCTGGTGAGTGAATAAACAGACGCCGAAAGTGTTTAGTTCCCTAACACTGGCCAGGGGCAAAGGGTTCCAAGTTTGCACTAAGTCTAAGGAAAGCTAGATTAGGCAAAGGCATTTTTCTAATAAGAATAGTTCATGGTGTGAAACTGACCTGGGCTCAGTTAAAATGGATTCTGCATGCATGGGTTGCTTCCAGGACTAGAAATGAAATGCATTTTCTCTTTCCCTAACTACTGATTTACAGTGCAACCTTAATAAGCTTTTGTGCAATGATAATGCTTTCAGAATAGAAACACCACTATAGAATATTATTAGCATCCACAAAATATATAATTCATTTAGATCAAATTCTATAAAACAATACCTTCAATTTGATGCAAAAGGATGCAAACACTTGACCTTAATTATATTCCTCAATATTCCTACTTTTCTCCTATCCTTCCACATTTGTTCCTTTCCAGGATATAGAACTTTGTTTATTCATAGCACTAAACAAATAAAAAATATAAGGGGACTAAATGGTAATAAAAAAATACATTTGTGCAATAAAAATAAATAATTTTAATAGAAAAAGAATAAACTTCTCTATGATTTTATTGTTAAAGTTAACAGCACTCTAAATGAAAAGATAAAATTTTTAAAATATGCTATAGCAAAGCATTCTTTAAAACCACTTTTTGGAAGGCAAGTCTTTTGTTTGAAAGGCATCTTGGCATAATACAACCAAAAAATCAACTGGTGAAGTTCAGAGATTAGTTTCTCTGAAGATACTGGTTGCTTAATAATCATTGGGTGCTCAAAGGTGCTCAAAGGCTCTGTTTTGGGAGGCTGGGCTATCTAGGTGGTGCTAACCGCTGGGGAATTCAGCTGCAGAAATCACTCCCCATATGCAAATATGTGTCTGAAGGGGTTTTTTAGAATAACGCAACACAGCCCTATTTGGAATCATTTTTATTTGCATTTTACCACGTGCTAAAACCCCAAGGAAATTAAGACTGCACTCTCACAAAGTTTGTTTTGAGAGGACATAATGGGAAAAAGAAAAGATGCCTCTCTCCCTTCTTCCTGCAAAACACACAAAAAATTTGGCTTTTTTTTTTTAAAAAAAAAGAACATTTAAGATTGAAGGTACATTTACTTCCAAAAAGAGTAAAACAAATTTTAAAAGTGTAAGTTAGTTCAACTCCTTTTTCCAAGCCATAGCTTCAATACCTGCTAGCTAAGAAATTTTACAAGAATTAATACTAATCCATACTTAGGCTTTTATGTACTTATTTCCCCAATACCTGAGTAGGACTCATTACTTATCAACTGGGAAGGGCTGTGCATGATTTTTCAGGTATCTCCCCATCTCTCCTGCTCTCTCAATCCAAGACTCAGGAAAAGACCTAACATTACCTCTGGGAGAGAATTTAAGAACAGTTCACCCTCAACACCAGCATTTCAGTCTGGAACTCAGAATCTATACCCAGCTAGTGATCAGTATTATTTTGCAACTCTCTTCTCTTGTTAACTTTTGTATAACACCTGTCTAGTTCTGTTGTCTTCATTACATTGGAAAATCCTTAGAAGCAGAAACCGTGATGTGGTACAATGCTCTAAGATTCTGCCCAAGATGGTTTTGGATGTTTAACAGACATCTGTTCAATAATCCATTCACCTAATGCCTACTCTGTACCAGATACAATTTTAGATGCTAGAGGGGTAAGCAGAAAACAACACAAACAAAAATCCCCTGCCCTCATGAAGCTTACTTCTAAATGGACAATAAACAAATAAACAAAGACAGATAAAGGATGTGGAGAAAAAT